CCCCCCAAAGAAAAATCCTGGCTACGTGCCTGAGCAAAATATAGGTTTAGGGCTTTTCAGATGATTTGGCTCCTCAACAGATACCGACGTACATAACGGTCAATATGTAGTTTAGGTTTACCTGGCCCGTAGGTTACGAATGTGCCCGAGGAGGAAAAAAAGCAAACTTAAGAAAATTTCTCGGGAACTTAAAAGTTCACCTCAAAACGAAATCTGCACCTATGCTAGTAACACCCTGTCCCAAACCAAGAGTCAAGACGTGAAAATTTGAGTGTCAGGGCACTGGACACTGGGCACTGGGTACTGGGCACTGGGTACTGGGTACTGGGTACTGCACTTGGCACTGGGTACTGGGCACTGGGCACTGGACACTGGGTACTGGGTACTGGGCACTGGGTACTGGGTACTGGGCACTGGGCACTGGGCATTGGGCACTGGGCACTGGGCACTGGGCACTGGGTACTGGGCACTGGGCACTGGACACTGGGTACTGGGTACTGGGCACTGGACACTGGGTACTGGGTACTGGGCACTGGGTACTGGGCACTGGGCACTGGGCACTGGGTACTGGACACTGCACTGGGTACTTGGCATTGGGCACTGGGCACTGGGCACTGGGTACTTGGCACTGGGCATTGGGCACTGGGCACTGGACCCACCTACCCAGCCCCAAATACCAGTTAACTCCGCGTAACCCTGCAATTTGTTAATCACCCAGAAGTTATTAGTGGTTACTCCAGACCTGGACCCCTAGATACTTGGGTGCGGTACAACAGGTACCTGGATAATAGTAAACTACTCTTAAAGTGAACTACTTTGTTAACCGCTTGCAATCTTAAACCGCACCGCAATATTTAACTTGCCCCAATTATTGTCCCACTTTATGAATACAATGCCCTGGATCCGGGGGTAAGTATGATTAACGGGGAGTGTACATCCTAGAATCTTAGAATCTTTTTTCCTTCACTAATCACTTGCTATGTAAAAACGCGTTGTACGCTCTAGTTTAAGTTATTGGTATGCGCGGTATGTATGTGACCATGTCTTTAGACATTTCTGAATATTACACATTTTCTCATGTAAGTTTGTAAATGAATGGTCCTCAGATCAGGGGTGTTCAGATACACCCCTGCCTCAGATATTCACGTGACGTCATCACACCACGTGACGTCATCACACCACGTGACACCACGTGACGTCATCACACCACGTGACGTCATCACACCACGTAACGTGAATGGTCCTCAGATCAGGGGTGTACAGATACACCCCTGCCTCAGATATTCAGCCACTGGTAGATATTTAATACCATTAGAAGTTAGAAGTGAGGAATATTACTGTCTACAGTGTACGACATGATATTGTGTAAACCAAATGTTTAGAAACCTGAGCTGCAGAGAATGCAGAGAATGCAGACAGGCTTAACACGGCCAGCAGTCCGGACTAGTGACCACTATTAATGGAATGTAAAATAAGGGCGTGCACAAATACCAGTTAAAACTCTCGTAATTAAGGGAGATGTTAACCTGGATGTTAACTAAACACTCACTAGTTTGACTAAACACTCTTACACATGATATTAAACTCTCTGATGATATTAAATCATCCAGGGCCGTGTCCACACTCTACTGTAATTCTCCATCTATTAAGATTGTAAGCTTCATTGCACATTTCATGGGCTTTAAATCCATTTAGTGTGCTGTGTGGTACACGTCTGGGCAGATCTATAACAGTATAATAATCAGGTTACTAACAAAGTAACCAGCTCTATAATCAGGTTACTAACAAATTAACCAGCTCTATAATCAGGTTACTAATAAAGTAACCAGCTCTATAATCAGGTTACTAACAAATTAAACAGCTCTATAATCAGGTTACTAACAAAGTAACCAGCTCTGTAATCAGGTTACTAACAGAGTAATCAGCTCTATAATCAGGTTACAAACAAAGTAATCAGCTCTATAATCAGGTTACAAACAAAGTAATCAGCTCTATAATCAGGTTACTAACAGAGTAATCAGCTCTATAATCAGGTTACTAACAAAGTAACCAGCTCTATAATCAGGTTACTAACAAAGTAACCAGCTCTATAATCAGGTTGCTAACAAAGTAACCAGCTCTATAATCAGGTTACTAACAAAGTAACCAGCTCTATAGTCAGGTTACTAACAAAGTAACCAGAGCTATAATCAGATTTATAACAGTATAATAATTAGGTTACTAACAAAGTAACCAGCTCTATATAATCAGGTTACTAACAAAGTAACCATCTCTATAATTAGGTCACTAATAAAGTAAACTGGTTACTAACTATGTAACAGTCACCTGCTAATTATTCGTCTTACAAATGGGTTTACTACCACTAACACACATATGACATAGCATATTATAACAATTACTATGTGATGTACAGTACACCATCTGTACAGGTATTGTAGTACTGTGGGAACTTGTTGCTGGTGTACCATTGTGAAGTCATAACCATTAAAGTCCCTTGTCTATTGTAATTTGTAGTTTCACCAAAATGACGGCTCCATTTCAGTGCAGGCACCAGATAGTTGGGGGGGGGGGGGGAGGCACATGTTCGTAGGTACATTGCACATACAACAATGTATTACAATACTACATACAACATACAACATACAACATATTACATACAACATATTACAATACTACATACAACATACAACATACAACATATTACATACAACATATTACAATACTACATACAACATATTACATATTACAATACTACACACTACTGGAGAAGTGTGCCTGGTAATGTACATTCTTGCTGAATGAAGTTTGATTGATGTAGGCGTGCAGGTTATGGTATAATAACATCCGACATATTGCAACATCCATACCACAAGTTGAAACTATCACACCGCGTGACCTCATCACACCACGTGACGTCATCACACCACGTGACGTCAACACACCACGTGACGTCATCACACCACGTGACGTCATCACACCATGTGACGTCATCACACCACGTGACGTCATCACACCATGTGACGTCATCACACCATGTGACGTCATCACACCATGTGACGTCATCACACCACGTGACGTCATCACACCACGTGACGTTATCATACCACGTGACGTCATCACACCATGTGACGTCATCACACCATGTGACGTCATCACACCACGTGACGTCATCACACCACGTGACGTTATCATACCACGTGACGTCATCACACCACGTGACGTCACCACACCACGTGACGTCATCACACCACGTGACGTTATCATACCACGTGACGTCATAATACCACGTGACGTTATCATACCACGTGACGTCATAATACCACGTGACGTCATAATACCACGTGACGACTGACGTCATAATACCACAAGTTGCAATTTTGTTGCCCGGTGACTATAATAATCGGGCTGGGGACCTGTATGTGTGTATTTCTATGAGTTTGTTTTATAAATCAGACAATAGTTTTATCATGAGACTGGAGTTGCAATTCTTGCACAATGCAACTATTTTAAAGACATTATAACAGTTGAAAATGGCTAATAATGCACAACTGAATGGAGTAGGGATGGTGTTGCGTAATAATGTACAGTAGAATCATCAGTAGAGATCACTTACCTTCCCTGCATTAGCGGTCAACTCTACAGCTGAAGTGAGGGGTCGTAGAGTCTTACGCCGTAGAATCTTACGCCGTAGAGTCTTACGCCGTAGAGACTTACGCCGTAGAGACTTACGCCGTAGAGTCTTACGCCGTAGAGTCTTACGCCGTAGAGACTTACGCCGTAGAGACTTACGCCGTAGAGACTTACGCCGTAGAGTCTTACGCCGTAGAATCTTACGCCGTAGAGTCTTACGCCGTAGAGACTTACGCCGTAGAGACTTACGCCGTAGAGTCTTACGCCGTAGAGTCTTACGCCGTAGAGTCTTACGCCGTAGAGTCTTACGCCGTAGAGTCTTACGCCGTAGAGTCTTACGCCGTAGAGACTTACGCCGTAGAGACTTACGCCGTAGAGTCTTACGCCGTAGAGACTTACGCCGTAGAGACTTACGCCGTAGAGTCCGGACCCCGTGTGTGGTAAGTCTCTGCTTCTCTCTCTACAGCCTGAAGTGAGCTGTGCAATCTTTATTTTACAGCCCAACTCTCTCTACAAGCATAGTAGTTGTAGTAGTAGTCTCTCTACCCGACCTCAGACAAAGGATCGTGACGTCAAAGCAAAGCAGAAACCAAGAAATGTTATAGTTTCTGAGAAATGCTCAGACAACACAGACAAAAGTGTCTAAGCCACTTTTGTCTGTGTTGTCTGTGTTGTCTGTTTATAATGCTCATTAAAATCACCGAAAAAAGTTATATCAATTGGATGATCAAACATGAAGTTATACTTTTTCATTCAAGAAAATGAAAAATACACAGCTGATGATGATGATTGAGTCTCAATACTCATTGATGAGCAATGGCCAATGAGTATTGAGTGTAACATTGAGTGCAATATTTAAAATGCTATAATGTTAGCACGTACATTGTGTCCTCACTCTGCCACCACACTCTCTTATATTAAATACCGTCAATCTGACCAATGTATTGTTACAGAATAATGAGTAATTAAAATCCACTGATCAACACCAAGTACTCCTTCATAAACATTACACTCAGAGCGATTAGCAATTTGTAACACAATCTTAGTAAATATATATATAAACTATACAGCAGAAAGGGAGGAATTATAAATTGGTTAACACCTGAATTACAGTTAAATTTAGCTTTCTAATCTGTATTGATGGAAAGTAATACTGACAGTAACCAGACATGATGTAATTTCCAGTATTCAGTTATTATAAAATGATTAATTGAAACTGAGTTATTATCAATGAACGGGTGGTGAGCTGAATTTGAAAACACTTTTAATCGTAATGTCCGACTCGTAGTTACACTTACAAATTATTGATAATCCAATCAATTAAAAAGTAATTAAGTGATTAATTACAACACCCTCCCTCTGTAAGCAGGATGTCACAAGGTCCGGTGATGTCTGAACCCACCACAATCACCATGTTACCAGCTCCCACCCTCTCCAACAACACTACTCTCTCTGGTGACGTCATCACACCACGTGACGTCATCACACCACGTGACGTCATTACACCACGTGATCTATCTGAAGAATATTCTATACTGTGTTCCTCAGACACTGCAGAACTGTGGCACCAGCACAAGTGCAATATGAACTTTTCAGACTACGCAGACGAAGATTTCCTCCTTTTCCTCCTCTATCAAACTGTAAAATCCCTGTCTAACAACTTCTCAGATACTCTAGTAGTCCCGCCCCTGATAGGCCGTCCTAAACTCTCCACCTTGCTCCAAACACCCTCCCCCTCAGTAACACAGCTCTCTCTGATGACGTCATCACACCACGTGACGTCACAGCAGACCCCCCGTCACGTGACTAACCACGTGCCCAAACAAACAGAGCAAGAGTACAGCTCCCATGAGTGTGGGAAGTGCAAGAAGAGCTTTAGAAACAAGTACTACCTCAGCAGGCACGAGAAGAGGAGCTGTAGCAGAGTTAACCCTCTCAGAGTGTATCATTGTCAGCACTGCGCGGCGGTGGTTACCAGCATGACCAGTCTTAGTGCCCACATGAAGCTCAGACATAGGGATATCAGGTTAGTTCTTACCTTTACATAGGGATATCAAGTTAGTGCACTTCTTACCTTTACTTTATCAGGTTAGCGCACTTACCTTTACTTTATCAGGTTAGTGCACTTCTTACCTTTACTTTATCAGGTTAGTGCACTTCTTACCTTTACTTTATCAGGTTAGTGCACTTCTTACCTTTACTTTATCAGGTTAGTGCACTTCTTACCTTTACTTTATCAGGTTAGTGCACACTTCTTACCTTTACTTTATCAGGTTAGTGCACTTCTTACCTTTACTTTATCAGGTTAGTGCACTTCTTACCTTTACTTTATCAGGTTAGTGCACTTCTTACCTTTACTTTATCAGGTTAGTGCACTTCTTACCTTTACTTTATCAGGTTAGTGCACTTCTTACCTTTACTTTATCAGGTTAGTGCACTTCTTACCTTTACTTTATCAGGTTAGTGCACTTCTTACCTTTACTTTATCAGGTTAGTGCACTTCTTACCTTTACTTTATCAGGTTAGTGCACTTCTTACCTTTACTTTATCAGGTTAGTGCACTTCTTACCTTTACTTTATCAGGTTAGTGCACTTCTTACCTTTACTTTATCAGGTTAGTGCACTTCTTACCTTTACTTTATCAGGTTAGTGCACACTTCTTACCTTTACTTTATCAGGTTAGTGCACTTCTTACCTTTACTTTATCAGGTTAGTGCACTTCTTACCTTTACTTTATCAGGTTAGTGTACTTCTTACCTTTACTTTATCAGGTTAGTGCACTTCTTACCTCTATAACTGATATCAATAATACCAGGAGTAATGTAGTAGTAGTAATACTCACTAATTTACTGGCCACTATTTACACATGTTGTTAAACAAGGAGTCAGTGGTTATGAGTTGTACAGTTTGTGAGCTTTTCCAACGCTAAGATAAAGACTCATGATGATCGCAATATTGTGATTAGTCAGGCAGGGTGTAATGGGCAGATTTAGGCTTTATTATCTCACGTGCAATGAATATCTCGTGCATGTTGAAATGTGGGTAATAGTAGGCTAATTGTTTCCCTACATGTGCGTGTTAACTGTAAGTATTTGTATAATATTATGAGTATATTGGAGTATATTATTAGTGATATAATACACTGGATACCACCTCACTATACAATACACTGGATACCACCTCACTATACAATACACTGGATACCACCTCACTATACAATACACTGGATACCACCTCACTATACAATACACTGGTTACCACCTCACTATACAATACACTGGATACCACCTCACTATACAATACACGGGATACCACCTCACTATACAATACACTGGATACCACCTCACTATACAATACACTGGATACCACCTCACTATACAATACACTGGATACCACCTCACTATACAATACACTGGATACCACCTCACTATACAATACACTGGATACCACCTCACTATACAATACACTGGATACCACCTCACTATACAATACACTGGATACCACCTCACTATACAATACACTAGTCAGCACTCACTATACAATACACTGGATACCACCTCACTATACAATACTCCTGTGTGGTGTGAACCACGTGACAAGAAAATAACAGTACCCAGACGTATTATAGTAGCCAGGCTAGTGAATATACTACCTTACTCCTTTATAATATAACTAGTGTAACCCGGCCTACGGCCGGGATTTCACTGCCGCAGTTAAAAAGGGTAGGAGTAATTACCCGCTGAGTCAAAACCCGGATTAGGCGAGCAATTGTATTCGGAGTGCCCTCACGTATCCAATAGTATGCTTAAAAAATAGTAATTCTTAATCAATAATCAATAGAAATTAACCCTGCACCACACCAGCCTATCATATTTGTGAACATGCATTACATTGTCGTATGAAAGTATGAACTCTCTCTACAGTCCAAACAGACCGTTTGAGCACTCCCTCCCCTAATAAGTTTATAGTATCATATGACCATGTAATATATACGCCATGTAATATATACGCTACATATGCAGAGAGAGAGAGAGAGCTAGCCCCGTAACTCTTGCCGTTCTTCTCAAGCCATTTTATGTAACATATTTTGTGGTAAAAAACCATCAATTAAACCACTTACCATCGGCCGATTTAAAAAAAATTTGCTTATGGGCTTCATCAGAGTTTTGTCGGGACTATACCGAAAAAACCAGTCCCGTAACTATTACCGTTTTTTTTGTATAACCGTTCGGAAATTACACACAGACAGACACACAGACAGACACACACACATTCTGGTGTTATTAAGTTGATACTTTGTGTAAGGGGAATAATATAACAGTGAAAGGGAATGTAGATTCCTTTGTAACTACTACACAACAACTGGTGTGACGTGAGAATGACGACAATGTGGCTGATAGTAGTGGTAGGCTGATATCACATCCCTGTAGACAGTGTGTGTTATCTCTCTCTCTCTCCCTCTCTCTCTCTCTCTCTCTCTCTCTCTCTCTCTCTCTCTCTCTCTCTCTCTCTCTCTCTCTCTCTCTCTCTCTCTCTCTCTCTCTCTCTCTCTCTCTCTCTCTCTCTCTCTCTCTCTCTCTCTCACTCTCACTCTCACTCTCACTCTCACTCTCACTCTCTCTCTCTCTCTCTCTCTCTCTCTCTCTCTCTCTCTCTCTCTCTCTCTCTCTCTCTCTCTCTGTCTGCAGTACTGTTAATAGTGTGGACATGATACCACCATAACGTAAAGACTAAAGTACTCCTTTATAATATACTTATTTATAGTAAGAAATATCTTATCCCGATCCCCCCCGGCCTCCTTATGCCAAGTTATGCAATATTTGGTGACTTCCACTTCATCAATCCTCGACTGACAAATTGAACTCTCTACCTCTATATCCCTCTATATTAAACGGTAGGGTATTAAATCTTTATAGCATTAAATAGAAGACAGGCAGTTTTGAGTTTATTAATCAGTTCCGTGGTCACGTGCGTGACTTCTAGTTCCACACATAAATAGAGTTCCTGTCAAGGTGACACATAGGTAGCAAGATTGTTAACTTGTGATGTGTGTTAATTAAACTTGTTGGTTACAAAGTCTTAGCTCTCCTCCAGGTACAGTTGCGAGCAGCGGAGCAGTATAACAGTGTAACAGTGTGACAGTGTGACAGTGTGACAGTGTAACAGTGTAACAGTGTAACAGTGTGATAGTGTGACAGTGTAACAGTGTGACAGTGTGACAGTGTAACAATGTAACAAGCTCTCTCCCTCAGGTACAGTTGTGAGCAGTGTAACAAGACCTTCAAGAATGCGGAGTATGTGAAGCAGCACGTGCGTGTTGCGCACAACAACATAAAGGACCACAAGTGTACGGAATGTGGTAAGGAGTTCACTCAACACGGCAGCCTACAGCTCCACATTAGGATGGTACATCAGAAACTACGCAACTACATGTGCAGGTATTCACTGAGAGCATTATATAATGATAATGTATCTGTTATTAGTAGTAGTAGTAGTTTTAATAATAGTGTATCTGTTATTTCGGAGTAATGTTTTAATAATAGTGCCAGCTGTCAGCCAAGTTCCTGTTATACTTGTGAGGCTACTTTTTTAACGCTTTATGAACTGTTCTCAAACCTACAGGGAATTGAGCTATAGCGTTTTGGCCGTTAGTGTCGCGTAAAAGCAAACATGTTGAGCTTTTCAAAATGTTGTTTTTTTCTGTGCTCACGTCAAGTGTGTTATGACTATGTCTTTGTTTAACAGAACGGTTTTACAACGGTTTTCTAAACCGGGTTTACAGGTTTTACAGGGTTTACAACGGTTTTGTGGGATTGGCCTATTTTGACTGGGATTGTTTGTACCTTAAATAACAGTTAACTTTCAACCATGTGAAAATGCAAAAATATCGAAGAACCAATTCACACCACAGGGTGCCAACTACAATAACTACATCGGTCATTCAATTGAAAATAAAACAGATATAATTATAACTGCAGCATAAATTAAGTTTGGTATTGATTAACACAGCCTTTGTACACTTCACATTACATTCGATGCCATATACAATATACATCACATAGCTTTACTAGAAACATTCCATTATGTTTCACCCCCCCCCCCCCCCCCCCTCCCATTCTAAACCCCACACACTTGTACACACAGTACTAATTATATAATATTCAGTAATTAGACTCTCTCCTGCTCCAAGGATCAAACAGGTGCAGGAATTATCTATTTCACTGCACCTAACCAATTTAGAATAGAAGTTTTCAACTGTTATTGAGATCATGAGTTTAATCATTATATTGATGGTCCGGACTCCGAAGTTTATTTAAAGGTTTAAATTGATTACACTCACAGTAGTAGTAGTAGTAGTAGTAGTAGTAGAAGTAGTAGTTACACTCACGATGTTGGCAGGGATCTCAGTTGTTCCCAACCGCAATAAAATATTATATTTCAGCATCAAACAATTAAACTGTATAATTAATTTCTGCCGCTATTATACCTACAATTTAAAAGTTAATTTGCAGGCTATGCCAGCAGCGGTTTGGGTGCAAGTCGCACTTAACTCGGCACATGCGCAAACAGCACTGCGACGTGAAGGAGCAGGCGTGCGAGATATGCAGCACTGTATTCCAGCAGGAAGCGGACCTTAGAGCACACGTTAAACAGATGCACTATCAAACCGAGTTCATTTGTAATGTTTGTGATAAGGTATGTTCGGTATTTGTTTGGTACAAATTATCTAACCTATTTTAATCCTGATAGAAATGATAAATAAGCAGGGCTGATTTGTTTTTGATTATTGTGTGGCTGCTACCATGACTACTTCAAAAGAAGATAACCCTCTTTATATTTTCAGTCGTTTAAGTTGAAACACACTCTTGCGAAGCACATAGCCAAGTGTCATGCAACAGACAACACTGTAAATACTGATAACGATAATAACTCAAGGACACAGTGACACTTTTTATTCAGAAATCATTATCAGCGCTTTTTCACCAAATTGATGAAGATAGAGTATCGGATAAGTTACACAGCTTTCAGCTCAATAAAAAATTTTTAAAGATTTGAATTTTTCAGCTGACCTACATTTTGTGTTTGTTCAGTAATTCAGTTATTTTCAAATCATAGATTGAGGGTAAAGATTCTACGTTTATCTTTAATCATTTATTCTGAAAACTCATTCTTCTCTATGTAGTAGTGTTTACCGACAAGAATCTTTCCAAAACAAATTATTTTTAATGAAAGCTATTGCTAGTTTTGCCCTAAGAGATCCTTAAAAACTCAACTGTCCCGCAGCAATGCGAGAGTACGTGCGCGCGCGCTGCATGCATATAGCTGATAGCTAGCGCGCTTCCGACTATCGTGCAAAGTCAAATAAATAAATAGTATTCAATACTTATGATATCTGGACAGTTCACCGTTTTATTTCTACCAAACCACAAATATGTATCGCAAAGATGTTGTCTTATAGCTCCATTGTTGGTTCGGCAGATCTTTTGGAACCAAATTTACGATATTCTACATTTGAAGAAACAAAATTTTCAAAAATGTTTCGATCCTGTCTACACTATTGATATGATATGACAATATCATTGATTATTAGTACCAGAAGTTTTGTCTCGCCAATCTGATCGCGCAATGGTAGTTTTTTGTGTCACGTCGTGACCCTCATTGTCGTTATTCGCTGAGTTGTTTCTATTCTCTAAGTGTACCTTTTCTACGATTTTCTATTTTGGGCCCGTGGCCAGTTTTCAAGCCTTTTCTATGATACTATATACAGGGGGCTGCGTACTCGTGCGCGGTGGGTCATATACTCGGGTTAGGGTTAGGGTTGCGGTTAAGATTATGGATAGCTTCGGGGTTATGGTTAGGCTTGGGATTAAGGTTTATGTAAAACCGTTTTGTACGGCTGCAAAACCAAAGTCACGTGAAATTTTTGGGCGAGCGATTTAGTAAAAGCCCACGTGGTGACCCCCACTGTCGCTTCACTGAGTTTCTACGATACAGGGGGAGCCGCGCACTCGTGCGCGGCGAGTCATACAACGTATGACAAGGTCATACAATGTATGACAGATAGTTTTTAGTTACAAGCCAAAAAAATGTTCATGTGTTGATATTTCTTGACGGATCTTACTCGTCTAAATTTCTTCGAAGTAGCGCGCGCCGCTTTCTTCTCGAAATGGCCCGACGGCAAGTGCTACGGAGTAGCGCGCGCCGGGCCAGTGTTGCAGGTTGTAAGCTGATATTGATATATGTTTTAATTGGAGCTCTCGTCTCTTACGTTGCTCTAACCAGAGCCCTCTCGCTTGCAGTAGCGCGGCATATATTCAACTTGTGAAACAAGCGCGTCACGCAGTACGCGTATACACATGGCTATGTGAATCTCTTACGTTGGAAGAGAGCTGCCTGCGAGCCTGTGAGTGCCTTGTAACATCACGTGATCTCAGATCACATCACGTAATTCCGTGGCGTTACTTGACACGCGCGGCGCAGTCCTTTTCGGGGGTAAGAAAAGAGGGAGTCCTGTTCTCTCGTGAGTTTTTCGAAGTCCTTTCTTAACAAGTTTTGTAGATCTACATTTTTATCAGTTCATCTGTTATCATTTCAATCGTATTCGTTGTTCCCTGTTCTCAAGAAATATAGTAGCCACACTCTATATCCAGATTTAACTAGATTAACATACTGTTAATCTAGTTCCATAACTTCTGCAAATTCGTCATACAAAAAGTCGCCCTCTGTGACCGTACTCGACCACTGACCAGTGTGAGTCGTGACCACTTTCCTTCTTTCCACCTAAAGACCCTTTTTCCACTCTACAACATCAGACCATATTCATAACTGATGACGAAGTCCCAATTAGGGCTACTACATGCCAAACACAAGGATACTTCGTATTTCGGATCATATGCCTGCTGTCCATGGTCGCTTCAACTGAGCGATAAGTGATGTTAAGTGAGCCGTGGAGCCCCACTTCTTGTCAAATTTGAAATTGGCTTTTGAATTACGACCCAATCATGAAATAAAACAGTATAAGCTGTATTTTAACGGCAAAATACGGTCAATTCTAGCTCTTAAAAGTTGTAGGTTTGGAGGATCAATACGGCTGCTTTAATTCTTAAAAGTCTTAAGTTAGAACGGCCAAAATACCCTACTCGGCGTCAGTCAGCTGCACCCAGAAACCCTTACTGAATGAGGTCTAACTTTGAAAGAAAAAGAGTTAGAGATTTCCGGTTTTTTGCAACATTTTCGTTTTGTAAAAGTAACGTTTCCCTCCCAGGGGGAACATTTAAAACAACGTAAATTTGGAGTTATCTACAAATCTCCAGAAAAGTGTCATTTTGGGCCGATCAAAAGTTTGCAACTTTAACTTTGCAGATTCCTGTACTCTGATTGGCTGAATTGTGTCACGTGCTGGCTGCTTGAAGATTGGAATGCGCCACGCGTGCAAATCATGCTTAATGTTGCGCGCGAGGTCTAGCTGTCTGTTTAAATTAAAACACCTCTAGTACCACCACCAGCCAGTAACTTTTGCTGGGATTAACAATGGTCAAGATATTTCACGCCACTCGCTGTCAATCCTTCGCACTTACCTGGGGACATCAGGCTATCATGTAATTACCATTGATTAATAAATTGCGGCACACGCCAGCCTCCACCGTGGGGTTTCAAAACAAAAAACAAACAAAACAAAATGGGGGTCACGATAATTGATAATGGGATTCACGACAATGGGGGGAGGGGGGTCACGACGTGATCTGATACAAAATTTACTGGGCCGCGCTCAGCCTGTCATTCCGCCGAATCTTTATGTTTATAAACATAATAGCCTGAGGTCCCCAGGTAAATACAAGATCTACCGAAGTTTTTATAGTTTTGGTTTTGACGGATGTTACTCGTCTAAATTTCTTCGAAGTAGCGCGCGCCACTTTCTTCTCGAAATGGCAAGTGCTACGATCAAGTAGCGCGCGCCGGGCCAAACCATTAACAATGGCCATGGTCAAGTACTTTTGGTTGCGAAAATTAAAATTATTTGATATCCGTATATAGTACACACGCGAACAGGTCCCTGGAGCTTGTCTTATATTGACTCCATGTTATTGTTAATACAATTTCGCAGCGGCGCGAAAGCACATAGTTAGGTGAAAGACTTTTCACTTCCTATCATGGAACAACACTTACAGTTTCTCTGGTGGCATGGTTCTGTTTTTGTTAAAGTGTTATTCTCTGTGTGCAATTGTGGGTTGAGGAGTCTTCTCCGCAAAGATGCGCTTGATCTTTTAACATAACTGAATAGTCTTTTGCCGGTGTTTCTTTCCTTGTTGGAGGTCTCCGTTGTACTTGTCGTGTCGGTGTTAGAGGTAGACGACAAACTCGGAGAAGTCTCTATGGTGGATTCAAACTTTTCAATTATGTCTATCAGTGTCGTGTCACCTCCGAAGGTGGAGATAACACGTATTGTGATATCAGGGGACACAGGGAGCAATATAGAATTGTTCGAGGTGTCCCTGCAGGTGGGGAGCCTGCGTTTGAATGTTTTCACCTTCGAAGAGATGTTGTTGATCATCTTTTTCGGGTAGTTTGAGTTCGAGCAGCAATTAGCAGCAGTGAGCAGCAGTGAGCAGCAGTGAGCAGCAGTTTCTTTGCACTATAGTCCTCCTGTGTGGCATGGCTGGTTACTAGGTTACTGGCTGGTTACTAGGTTACTGGCTGGTTACAAGCTAGTAGTGGTAAATCTAGCAGTTATTCCATCAAAATGCAGAGTCAGTTTAAACCTTACTTTGTTTTTATGGGCGGCGCTCAGCCTGCCATTCCGCAGGTCAACCTTGTTTGGCAACTCATTTGCAGTTTCGGGACTTATATTGTGGATTGTAATAACCTACCATGACCAGTACCACTACTAAGATCAATATCCCCAAATGTTGGCCAAAAACATCACGGGAGATTTCAACTTGAAGACGGCTAAAAACTACAAGGTTCCAGCGACAGGGTGCACATTCAAGCGAGCTCAATATTTAGAACTCAGAAGCGTAGTTGTAGTGAACGGTGGATTTTAACTTATTGAACGCACGTTCCAGTCATTTTGTAGTTAACTTTATTAAACTTTAGTGAACCTTAGTGATTATCCAAAACAAAAATTAATATTCATGAAAATAAAATCTTTTAAATCTTCATTTCCCCAACTGATAATAATTATTTTTCCCAGACTGATACAAAATGAAGCAATCCTATTTCGGTTCACGTACTGTAGTGCGACACGTACTCTAGTGCGACATGTACCCTAGTGCGAAACCTCCAAGATCGACACTGTCGCAGTAAAGTACGTTACCTGGACTGTAGTGCGACACGAACTAAAGTGCGACAAAACACTTTACTCATTCAATACGTACGTTACGTTTTGGTACGTTTTGGTGAGTTTGGCAGGGCGTGCTCAGGACAACTGCATCGAGTGCGTCCTCCTCCAGCTCAGCATTGAGTTATCGTTTGTCGGAGTGTAGCCCGGAACCGGTGGTGTGTCTGGGTACTGTTCCATAAATCTGCCTAGACCAACTTTGAAACTGTCTAGCAATGTGATACTCCGGAGCTCCGATGGGAGCACGTTGAAGAGCTGAGCTGCTCTAACTCTAAAGCTGTTGTCGTAATCTGTTCTTACCGACAACTGTGCGCTTTTGTTCATGGCTGGGATCTCTGCCTTAATACCATGCCTTTGATGAGACTTGAACTCGAAGCCCGTATCGTTCGGAGCATGTTCATTAAGAATTTTCCATACATGAATAATGGAATAACGCTCTCTCCGTCTCTGAAGGGACATCAACTTAAGCTTCTTCAGCCTGTCCCAGTACTGGAGATCACGGCAGCCAGATATCTTTCTAGTAAAGGATCTCTGTACAGTCTCCAGCTTTTGTATCTCTGTGACTTTTGTAGGGTTCCAGACTGGACAGCAGTACTCTAGCTTGGAGCGAACCATGCTTTTGTATAAAGTCAGCATGACTACTTGTGACCGGTCTCTAAAGGCACTCAATGTCCAAGCCGCCATTTTTCTAGCTCCTTGAACTGTCTTCTCAATGTGAGGACCCCATGACCTACTGCTGCTAACATACACTCCAAGGTCTCTGACAGTTTCCTGTGGTGATATTGCGTGTCCTTTTGGTGTAGTATACTCAACAGTCTCTGGGTAGAACGGGAGCTCTCTTAGAGCTTTTGATCCATTCAGGGGGTAGT